GTCTTCTCTTCTTCCCAATAGAAAAACAAATTATACAAGAATCAAGCTAAAGGAGATTTTCAAAAATTTAAATTTCCTTTGTAATATTTTCATGTTTTATATGGAGTCAGAATATTGTGGGAAGCTGTCTAAATGACTACAAATCCTTATCCAAAACCCTCTGGACCAGATGTTTTTCCAAATTTATAATTTGTTGGATTTTAAAAAAGGTAACAAAGGGACATATAATGGGTATAACAAAACTTCTCCTTGGAGTCTGGAAATACCTATAAAATCAAACCTGTTGATATTTCAAACAGTCACATGAAGTGGCACAAAAAGAGAATAACCATGCATCAGTTCAAGTTTTGCTAAGGAATTATGGCATTAAATTTAGAAAAATAAGCCAACTTAGTTTTAGAGTTTTGAGGATAAGGGAACTTTTAATATCTCTGACAAATCTTATTCCGCTACATTATGGCCTCTGCAGGTCTGCTCTTGTGCCTGACCTACACTGGACTAGGCACAGTATCTCCCACTGCTGAAAGACGTCCTCAAATTCAGACAGTAGACTGAGTAACAGTACTCTAACAATAATTTGAAAAGATACAAATATACTGTAATAACCATTGCTAGTTAACTTTATGATATCTGACACCATCTTAGACTAGATGTTAATAATCAGCAGACCATACCAACATTTAAGGAGTGCTTGTAAGAAAAGAATAAAACTGAGAAATGTATAAATATTAATATAATTTAGGAAAACACATTATATGTTTTTAGCAGCTGCACAATGTGACTCCACACAGACTGCAAACTTTGGCTATAAAAGACCGAAAGCCATTTTGGCATCAACAAACTCATGCCAACTGTTATCAAATTATACGAAGCAGTTTACATATTAGTAATAATTTCTCCTGTATTTATCTATGTCTAAATTTGCCATTTGTGGATCTTGATACCATGGAGCCATTAAACATCTTATTATTTAAAAATTAAGTCACTTTTTAAAGTCAAAAAGCTTCAAAAGCACACATACACACACACACACACAAGCCTGGCTATAATTTCTAGGCCACTTTTCTTCTTCTTCTTTTTTTACAATAAAAAATTTTTTTCTTCTTCAAAAGTAGAAGTCTTTACATCCAAGGGAACTGGAACACACTATTGTATGCACAGGGATGAGGCGTGTGTGCAATGGACAAACAGGATGCCACAGTGGAGGTGGACAGGACTGATAATAGGCACTTGCTGTAGAAATCCATGAAATGAACAGGTCCCGTAACCCAGAAACAGCATTCACAGGGCTAGGAGGATTTCCAGGGCTTCACAAAGGGATGAGTGGGCTTCTGTAGCATGTGGTAGGACGATACTGTCCTCAAGTCAGTGGGAGAATCATAGAAAAATGGGTGACTATTTATAATTTCAAAAAAAATGAGTATCTTTAAAATTATTCATCTTTTCTCAATGAGTATAATTTAAATATACAATCATCAGCCTTTCCTAAAAGCTACATATATGCTACTAGGTTAAGAATGTCACACTTTTTATTTATTTTTTGTTTGTTTTAATGAATTCATGAATTAATTTAAAAAGTCAAGTCAAAAATCTTAGCTGGTCTTTTTTCTTCTCTTACAAAAACATTACAGCAGGATAAGCAAAGTTGGACAAGGGAGAGAAGGAAAGAACAGGCAGCCACTAACATGGAACAGGTGAGCTTCAGCACATCATGGCTACTGAGGAAACTGTAAACTTCTGTAAGCATCTAAGATTTTATTTTCTCTTCGGAAAACATTTGAGGAGGCTGCCTTTTTCCATGAATCAAAACTTCAAAGTCCTAAGCATCAGTCAAAAGAAGACAAAAAAGCATTGTTTCCCTACTGGAAAAGAATGACTGCTTACCTTCTGCTGCATTGCTCTCTCCCGTCCCCCTCGTAGCTTTGTGGGATCAAAGAGAGAGAGGTTCTACCAGCAGTAAAACAAGCATGACAGAGAGGTGTTCAGACTCACTGGCAATGCATACAATTCATCTTGAGTAAAACACACCAAATTAAGAAGAAAAACAAAAAAGCCCAGAAACCCATAAACTAACTACCTTTCATGGAAAGTTTAAAAGAGCCTTCAAGACTTCTTATGTGAGATAAAGTACATTTCTGGATTTCATCTCTATGAGGTGGGCAAAAGAATAAATAGAAAAAAAATTCCACTTATTGTTCTGGAATTCCATTCTTTACCCTGTTGACATATTGTGAGTTCTCACACTACCCCACTCCACCTCAAAGGACTTCCTATTCCATATTTGCATAGTGTTAATAATATTGTCTGGAGTTGGACTTCTATTCCTTTGCCCAAAGCTAGATTTCTGAAGAGCACTGATCCAATCTTACATATTCTAAAACAAGACAAGTGTCTGTAGGCTAAAAATTGGGTCCCATGTAGCAGCAAGCTGTTCGAATTATTTGGAAACAGTTTTTTTCCCCCCAAGGGATAACAATTAGGCAGTTTTGTCTGCAATTTCAGATTTTGTTCTCTGCATCATGCAGCGACGAACTATGCTATCGAAACTTCCAAGGTAAAACAGAGCAATAGTTCGGAAAAGGCCCATAGTGACCACCTGCAAGACAAAGAGAGACCTTTTAGTTCATCCAACAGTGTAATACAATAGTTCGATTCATTTCAAGGAATTTAGGTCTCAGTAAGTAGTTTCTAGGACCCATTTTCTAATCTCCTCAAAGGATAAGCATAATGAAAACTTTGTAAATGCCAGTAAGTTCTGAGAACAGAATATGTCTACTCTGTACCACTGTATCGCACTGAGCCTGCCAGAGATAAAATATTTGTCTGATTAATAAATTCCAAGCATAAGGACAAAATGGTATTCTCATCAGCACAGGGTTGTAACTGCTAGGGAAATTCAACTGCAGCATCCCAAATAGCCTAACTATAACCAATGTTTCTTTGGTTCAAGATTTATGTTCTGAGCACAAGAATGAGCCCCTACACTACAAGGTGAGAATACTGCGAATAAGACACACCTCTACCCTCTTTGAGTATTTTCTTTATTTTGAGATCCTATGCTGCCCTGGCTCATCCTGAACTCCTCCTGCACAATTGAGACTACAGGTGGGCACTTCCAGACTTGAGCTTGTTTGTTAATTGGAAAGACAATCAAGTAAAAAGGCAATTACTGTTTCAGGGTCAAGGCAGCAATTAACTATATCCATTTACTTCCGCTCTTCTCTCTAACAGATTTTCACTAAAACAATTCTAAATGGGATCTTGAATAGGAATAAAGCTACAAGGAGAAAGAGGTACATTTTCAAATATGCCAGGACTCAAAAAAAATCTGTCTTCCAGGCACCCCCCACAACACAC